CCCCAGGGGCCACGCGCTCGCACACGATCGCGAGGCCTGTGCTGCTGGGCCGCCCGGGCCCCGAAGGGTGAGGGGCCGCGAGCCTTTGCTGACCGCAGCGGTTGGGTAACAGGCACTAAAATAGGGAATTTCACTGAAGCAGGGTTTCATATGTTTTTGTGTTTCCTTCAGCACTTGTGGAAGACATAGGGGTCACTAAAATGTGTTTACCGGGAAAACTTCATGGCAGCATTGACATAAAATTCTGAAACTGGGGGGGGGAATTCTTTTTTAAAGCTAGTTAGAAGAAAAAAACCACTGCACGTCTTTTGTACTTTGCCATTCCACTTTACCTTTGACTTTTTAAACTAGCTGCTATCTTTAGGTACTTGCTTAAGCGCTCTGCTGCATTTGGATGGACTATTGGATCCCAAAATCAATGGCCCAGACCTTAGTTTGAACAAGTAAGCCAGCCTGTCTCCGCTGATTCCCATTGTAACAGCTGGTGGTCAACTTTAAAGTAACTTCTTGGGAGTGATGCTTCAGAGGTAAAGTTCCGAGCTTGCTTTCAGTTTACACTATGATTGCCATGGACTTTCACAGAACAAGTTTACCCGATGGGTCTGAATTATCATTCATTTATCAGCCAATTTTAACCACCCCTACTCAAATCATGAAAGTTTTGCTGAATCAGAACTCACTAGTTTTCAGGGAAGTTTTTTGATAGTAAGTACACCAACAAACAACAGAAAGGAAAATCCACTCACAGATCTGTGGCTGCTGCCACCTCTTCTTTGCTCCTAGTCCTAGGACCACTAACATGGCCTCCTGGCTTCCTCTAGGGCTGCTGCTACCTGATGGTGAGGCACAAAAAAAGTCTCCGCTGGCCCAGGCAGACTCCCCCTAGAGCCAGTCAGGTGTCACTGTGCCATGCTGAACCAAGCTTCAGGTGGTAGATGAAATGATGCCCCTCAAGCCTGCCCTGATCTGACAACAGTTATGAGTTTTGACTTGGATGTTTGTTGTCATCATAAAAAAAAAAAAGGAAGTGAAGGAAAAGGAAAAGAAAAAGAAAGTGGAAGACCGGCACTGAAGGCACTGTATAGTATCTAGTATAATGTCCCCAGACTGAATGAGCTTAGGAAAACTGGAGAATACAGACAACAGTTGGGAAAAGGGAAGGATTATTATCTCTTGGGTATAGCAGGTGACAAAGCAACCAGTAAGGCAAAAAAGAAGGAAGATGAAACAAAGAAAGAGAGGAATATGATGGAATGAAATACAAAACTTACAAAAGTTCTTGAAAGAAGATTTGTAAGGAAAGATGTGAAGAAATAGATGAGAAGCCAGACAGGAAACATAAGGGGAATATGTGAGGAAATAGATGGGAAGCCAAAAAGATTCAAGAGGTGGGTACTGTAGTCAGGGCAATTTCAGCATCAATGTTGGGCCAGGCTGCAATCAGAAATGTGAAAAGAAGCAAAAGTATATAGGAAAAGTTTCCCACACGTGGTGGTGGTGAACAAGGGACAGTGAAGCAAGAAGCAGTTATGATTTTAAGCAGAAGCATGGAGCTTGCTCAATTGCTTGCAATTCCTTTTGCAAAATGTGGTGAGAGTGGTTCCAACAGGAACTACCACTGAAAAGCTGGAGTGTGGCAGAGAAATGAGGACACTGGAACAAAGTACAGGTGCAAAAGTCAAGATAAGAAGGAACAAAATATAATAATGAGGGGAAACAGCAAATGCTGTATTAAAACCCCGAAGAACCTTCCAGATTCTTTATTAGTTTTCTTAAAAGTGGAAAACAGTAAGTGAGTTGCATCAGCAGGTTTATGGGAGGAAAAGAGACTAGAGTAATATCCAGGATCCTAGAGTTATATCCAGGATCATTTACGTGTGCCAAATTCTGTGGAGTCCTCTGATTTGCAAGACCAGATCAGGCAAGAGATCGATTAGTCAGGACTCCTCCATCCGCTGCCCAGTTCCTAATTAATTTGTAATTAAAATTCTAGTCATCTCCCTATGCCCTATAATTACATTTTCGGCAGCATTAGGCTTTTATCAGCATCAGTCTTGAATGTGGTGCGTGTACAGACAGGTCTGTGGCTATGCTGGCAAATTTTGATGGTAGCTCTGTTCGTTCCCTTAGAAGACCGACAGCTAAACGTAACTGACCCTAAGGCAGTGTGCTTTTGTGCTCGGCTGGCAGGTCGTGCTTCCATCCTGATGCCTGCAGGTTAGCAATTTATCTGCCAGAGCCTGAGGTTTAATTGTTAGCTTGGCTTGAGCAACCCAGAATGTTGCTGTCATGGCTATTAAGTGCCTTATCAAACAAAATCTCATTTGTCGTGGTGTTGCTTAATAACCTGCAGTGTTTAAATCCAATGTTTTTTCATTTCTCCAATGTTTTTTAATTGACTTGTTTGCATAATTTTCAAGTTAAATCAATTCACTGTTCATTTGCCTTGTCAAATCTTTACTGACTACACAAAAAACCCACCTGTCCCAAGAGTACCTCATTATTAACCTTCCATTGCCCAAGAGCAGCTTTCTACTATGATTTTTTTGATCAATCATGTAATCATTATTTACACTGCAATACTTTTTCCCATTAGTGTATGGCACTTTTTTCCTTTATATGTAGGCTTTAAGAAAGGATATCCCCCAAAATGTTTTTGAAGATTCAAGTAGCCTCCATTTGCTAAGTTAGAAATGAATTTTCAGAAGAAACTAGAATGAAAAAAGTGGACAAGAAGAGGAAGACTGTTACGGAGGACAGGGTAGTATGACTCTTTTTAGTAGCCTCAAAGAGCTGTAACAAAACTCTTTAACAATTTTCCTTACATTTATGTGGTGTTCACCAACCTGCAATTCTGAGTACCATTTCAGCTCTTTTAATAATATAAAAGGAATTGATATTGCAGATCTAATCCAATTTTCAGGAAGGGATGTGAAAACTTAATATTAACTTTTTTTTTTCTAATTTTTTTATTACTTTCTGTCAGTTTGGACCGTGTTTCATAACAGAAAACGTTGAGTGTGCTTCCTGTGCATAATATATATATGATCGTCAATGTCTCTATTATTTTTTTCAGATCCTACAGGTGAATATCACGTAGACATAAATTAAGCAAGCCAAGCCCCAAACTGTAAAAGAATGGGCTTCATTTTAAGCACATGAGTATTTTTTTAGAAGTCCAGAGGACTACTCTGAAGCTTGGCTCAGATACAAGCTTTGGTGCTTTCAGCAGTCAAAACCTTGGTCTGAAATAATGGCAGGATTTGCATTTATTTCAACAGACTCTAGCACAAGCCTTTAATTGCTCTTCAATGCTCACACTCCTTCCTCCTTAAAGGGTACTGGCATGACGGGCACTCCTGTAGTTCTAAAAACCTGTGACCTGGCAACAGGAATACCTCACTGATGTGAAAATTCTGAAAATGTATTAATTTACCTTCTTGTCTATTATTCATTAATTTTATTGGCATGATTTTTTTTTTTGATTGGAGGAGGTCCTGAGTACTTCCAGTGCTTTTACCTGCCACACTCACAACACCTGCACCCAAGCCTTCCCTGTGCTGCTTGAATCTTCTGCTACCTTATATCTCAGTGAAATGAGAAATTCTTCCTGATCCCCCTTCTTTATAGACTACTTTACTATTTTAGCCTCTCTGTAAGACTTGGTGTTGATAAAAATCCAAATCGGCATTTATCACTTCTCAAAGGATGGCTGAGTGTTAAGGGAACCTGCCCTCCAACCCAAGCTCCTGTCAGCAGGCTGTGCTTTGCTGCCATCAGGTCACAAGAATGACCTTTTTGGGCTTCCAACACATTACAGTTCTGTCCTACAAAGATGCAGAATGCAAGGCTTCGGTCTGTGGAGGATTCTTAGCGAACTAAATAGACGGTGATCAATTTTCTAATTAACTTGAAACTCAGCAGCTCTATGAGGATTGTATTTTCCACATATTTTAGAAAACAATGTCTGTAATACATTTTAGCCTTATTCTAATTCATTTCTACAGGACCCCATCAGACTAAGGGATTCTGATTTGTGTTTCCCAGAGGGGGATAGTGACCCAAGTGATCTGTCCTCCATCTCACTTAACCCATAACATGGCAGACCTCCAGCTCCTCCTTACCTGGTAAATCATCTTCATCTTCACTGAAAACATTTGGATTAAAGACAGGCAGGTTAATGTAGTCCATTGAAATCTTCCGCACTTCTGGGAGATATATTGTCATCTGCCTGGGCTGTAGATGCAGCAAACTGGTTTTATATATTACTGCAGAAAAGAGTATAACAAGAAATTAAAAAATATCTGTTACAGAAAGAGCATCTCAAGCTAAGAAAGAGTCAATTCAAAGCAGACAGAAGGGTTATGACTATTTTTATTCAATGTATTAATGAACAAATCCACGTATGGGCCATTCTTAGCCAAATCACTATGTAACACTTTGCATAAACAGGATAAAAGAGATCGCTACTTTCAGCTATCTCTTTAAATAGAAGCAGCATCTCTGTAGTTAAATAATCTGTAGAAATAATTAATTACTTCATCTTGTATTCACATCTATTTTTACAGATGGAAAATAATTTTTCCATTCTACTTTTGGAACTCTTCACCACAGGACGCTACTAACTTACATGAGTTTAGGGGAAAATGGAAAAGCTCTCAGGAAGGAAATCTGTTGAGAGTTACTACATAAAAAGAAACCACTCCTGTCTCAGGAAGTCCCTGGGACTCAAACCATTGGAGACTGGGAGAATATTTGAAGGAAGTATCATTATACACTTATTCTATGCTTATATACTTCCCTACCTATCTGCCACTGACAATGTCAGAATTAGAACGACCTCTAGTCTGACCCAGTAGGGTCATTCTTACACTAGCTTTTAACAATCATTGCAAATGCAGATGTCAGAAAGTCATAAATTACTTCGAAAAAAAAAAAAGTGGCTGGAAGAAACCTGGGGGTTTCCATAACACTTTATTAAGTAGAAGGTGCCACAGCCCTATAGTGGTAGCACTGGTTGTCCCCGAGGTGACAACATGCTGAGAGAACAACCTTTGCCTGGAGGCTGGGCCAAAGAAGGTCCTCTCCCCAGTAGCTGGGACTCCATCTCTTGTCTGACAGTAGTCAGTATGGCCACAAATGGTATCTATTTAACTAATTCTGCATCCAGGGCATCATTACGTAGTCCTGACCTAACTATATATCCAATACAGGAAAAAAAAAGTTTTCCAAAGAGCTCTTAAAACTCCTATACTTGCATTAATATCTCAGTTCAGAGCTGACTTCTGCAAGGTGGTACCCTGTTCTTTACTGAGCCACCTTCTTTTCAACAGGAGTATCTAGGTAGAACTGGCCTACCCAGAAAAAGGTCAAGAGTCTAGACAACTGCTACTTTTAATGAAGGCTACCAATTTACTGACACTCCAGCATCCATATGATATGGCTATGCACTGACTTCAAGAATCTTGAGCATGATTCTGTAAGAGTTTTTGTAACATTGTTTTGGTATAATTAGTATAAATTACTATAAAAATATTACTTAAAAAATATTTCTATTACAGCAACTTAAAACCTATTAATTTTATAGTCTTCTTGCAAAAATTTTGTTCAGGTTTTGTTCAAATAAACTGTAAAAATAAAGGTCCAGGTTTGACTGCTAATTAATCTTTTTATTACAACTGAGACTTTTAACATTTTATTTATCATCTCACTGTTGTATTTATAGATTTTAATCTCTTTTAGTTACAGTGAATTTTGCAAAATCTAATCCCTTGCTGTCCACAGAAAATAACTACTTTGTGAAAGAAGCCTTTTGATCACTTAAAAAGAATCCCATGGCATAAGTTTGTTGTTTGTTAGAAGGAGTCTGACATGTAAAAAATCAAAAGAATTTACTTTTACCTGCACCAAGGTTAGTTGGTAGGAAAGCAGCCAAACCCACGATTTTAAATTTGGTTCCCCAGATATTAGATGTGACCTGAGCAAGGTAGTTGTGCTGCAAAGCAAAAACAAGATCATTTTCACCTAATAAACTCCGTATCAAGCTCTAATAAAAAACTGCAGAGCAATCAAGCTATTACAATTTCAGCTTCTCTTGTTTCTACTTTATTGAAACAGCCTAATGTGCCTATGTAGCAACTGTTATACCCAGTCATTAAGAAGTCTCATTTTGATATCTGAACACCATCAGAAAGGTGTTCAGCCACGCAGACTGATTAAAGCTGCTGAAGAACTGAACAACATGATGGCTGCTTAGTGAGAATAGGTCTGCTTTCGGATGCTGGCTTCTGCACGACAAGAGCGCGGCTATTCTGTATTTCAGAAAGTAATACACCCTGCCCTTTGGTTCTATGCTTACAAATCACTTTATAGAACCATAAATGAGACATAAACCAATTACTCATAATGACAAACGAATTTTTCCTGGAGCTTCCAAAGCAGCTTACCAAAACACTGCTTACATAGTGATCAAATTATCTTGGTCTGAAAAACAAAGAGATTTTCTCAAAGGCCAAGAGCTATGCTGTCAATATCAGGAGTAGGATCTAAGCCTCTGGTCTCCTGCCCTATTCAAAGCACTTTTGGTCCTATCTACTGCTGCTATGTAAGTGATACAACATGTTTCAATATAAAGGAAAAAGTGAAAAGGCAGAGCAGAAAAAAAACCCTGAAATGAAACAAAACAAAACATACTTAAATGAACACAGGCTGGTATTAGTAAAATATGTAACCCAGACAGTTCTACAGCCTGCTAAGTTTCATTTGTCCACAGGTCATGAACACCACAAAGAGCATAAAGTGCTAATTCCTTGCCTTCCTTCAATTAAGGCTGTTCCATGTTCCTGATCTAGTTGAAGATGTCCCTCCTCACTGCAGGGCGGTTGGACTAGATGGCCTGTAAAGGTCCCTTCCAACCCCAACTATTCTAAGACTCTCTGAACTACGGAACAGAGAACAAGCGGCCCTCTCAAGCAAGCATCTCCTTACCTCTGCAATTCCTAGCAAAGCAGAGAACTACGGTGGCATTAGAACAGCCTGAGGAACAGAATAAGAAGCATTTTCACACACATTTTCAAACAGCCAACAAAAACGAGACAATAAAACCTCTCACAAAGATTCACACTGACAGAAGTTAGTGGTGCCAGGATTTATCAAACAATGCCTGATATTCCATTGACACTTTCAAACATTAAAATTGAACTGGAAGATGCAATTCTGTAGTTGTTCCATTTAGTTACTATAATTAAATGAAAAGATTTTATTGATGATCACTGGATTTGTATCACAACTTGCTGCTTCTGGAAGGAGATGCATTCAAGACTCAGGTCTGGTAACAATGTACACAATACCTGAGTAATATCTTCTAAAGGAAACTCTCTTCGGGTTAGGCTTGGCGAACCGATAGAAGGTTTCCTTATCGGTAACCTTGGTGATCTTGATATCTCCTGCGCAGCTCGTGACATCTTTGGAGATTTGCGAGCTTCTATGTTGATTCTGCACATAAAGCAATAATTAGAATCATCAACAGGCATACAAAAATGCACAAAATTCATATCCTTGAATGTAAAGATGTAACGAAAACAACTGGTATGGTGTCCTCTTAGTGACTAATGAAGACTGTAGAGTGTACAGGATGGAGAGTTATGGGTCAAATTTAAAGATACAGATGAGGCCTGACACACTTGCAGCAACACAGACTGGATGCTCTGCGATTCATTTAAGAAAGCTTACAGCTTCTAAATCAAGCACCTGAAAAAGCTCATTGGTAGAACAAGCAATGAACAAAAATTACATTTCAAAAGTACGGTCTTAGAGAACCGAGGATGCAGGGTAGCTGTTTTTCCTGTGCCATTTCAGTTTTAGGCTCAGGAACTGATGGTTCTTTTGTCAACTACTACTAAACTAAAACTTTGGTATTTCACACATTATGTTCACATGTAAAGGGATGTATTTGCTTTGCCTCATACTAGGACAAGCTCATAACATAAGGTTTTTGGAAGAGTGTCAGCTGCAGCTAGAAGGCATCAGGGCCTCAATCCCATGAAGCTGCCAGATAGATGTCAGTGCCTCTGAGAAGCATCACAGACACCAGTGAGACTGTGCAGGCAGAGGGTTCTGTCTATGTACATCATGAACACAATGAAGAGCCGCCAGGAAAGCAATCAGACAAATAATAAGCTGATTTTGCATATCATTACAGAAGGTCGTCAACACAGTGTTTAGGAGGATCTGCTTGTTGAGGTTCCTTTGCAAGGTCACCACAGCAGCAGTGCCACCTATGCCAGGTTCTATGCCACCTATGCATGGACTTCTGAATTTGAAAATACCCCTGAGGAAATAAAGGCTTTAACTAGATCAGGGACTCCAAGCACAGATGAGGTAAAATCATGGATTGTCTGAAGGACAAAATATATCCTATGGTGGCAAGAGTTTACATGTGGCAGAGGCAGTGGTGGGAGAGTTTATAAAATCTTTCTTCAAGACTGCTTGGGGAGAAGTGGTGCTCTGTTGTTTCCCATTACCCTTTTGCTCCAGAACCTTCCCCGAAATCCACCTCAACATCAATCTCCGATATCACCCCAGAACTGTACACTGTAGAGGACCCCACTCTCCACACGACTCCTATCTGCCCAAAGGGGTTTGCTTTTAATTTTATGAGGTGTCAATACAGTGTTGAAAGAAGAGAAGAGAAGAGAAGAGAAGAGAAGAGAAGAGAAGAGAAGAGAAGAGAAGAGAAGAGAAGAGAAGAGAAGAGAAGAGAAGAGAAGAAATATCCAAGGGATTATTTACCTGGGGAGTTTGGGGGATTTGCTAGCTCGACTGATTTTAGGAGATTTCTTTGCTGCCCAGTCATCGCTCAGTTCGATATCGCTGGAGTCCGAGCAGTTGCAGCTGTCAATCACAGTGGAAATCAAGCTGTTTCCATAGATTTCATCTATCAAGACAGGCCCCAGAAAATGTAAGTCCTGCTTCAGAAACTGGTATCAATTACAACTATCAGCCATCAGAAGCATAATTCTGATCCATAAGCAGCAGCTGAGATAAAATTATGCAGAAAAAATAAACTGTTCTTCATCCTGCCTAGTATAGACTCAAAATTTCCAGTGGTTCAAACTCAAGTGAACATGATTCAGAGGAGTGAAAAGCATTCAATCAACTTCAAAATTGAAACTAAAGAGTATTTCCTGCTAATTAGCAATCTATTCCCCACTATTCAAAATATAAGAGGTTCCCTTTTGTAAAACAGAAGACAGCATGGTATACTTTCAGAGCCTTGAGCCTAGGTCACGCTAAACATTTTCTTTGCATCAAAAAAAAAATCAGATGTCACCTTTCACATTGCATATATAGATTTTTTTTAAAACTCTTGAGGATTTAGTATCAAAGGATTTCTAAATCATTTTTTATACAGAACAACAATTCAATTCTACCTGCTTTTCCATCTGTTTTAGGATCCATGATGACAAACTCTGGCCGTAACTTGCTGATACGACGTCCTTTCAGGATAGGCACCAGTCCTCCAAGGTATTCCAGGTACAGAGTGTAACATGGACCACCGACCTCTGGGTCATCTTCTGTCCGCTTCATTGTGCAGTGAAGCCGTTCATTACCAGCTGTTGGGTAGCTGACAAAATCTCTCATATTGTTTGGGTCTGGGATAGGAGGCTTAATTAAATGAAGGAAGGAAAGAGAAAGTTTCCTATAGGTTATTCATGCTTTTTTTTTTCCTGTGGTGCTTAATCCCAACACAACTAACTGAATTTGATCCCAACTCTCAACTTGGCAAGTCAAGATTAGTACAGGTTACTGTGTGAGTTACACAGGACCCACATGGAAGACAGAGTGGCTGTGTATTACTTAGCTAGGTCAAAAGCAGCTGTACATGGAAAACTAAAACTAGTTACATCAGAAAGGAAGGCTAGACCTGTGGTTAGAGCACTGAATTAGACAACAAACCTGTCTTCAAGTCCTGGTTCTACCACAAACTTCTCTTTTAACCTGAGTAATGTGGTCAAGCCTAAATCTCAGAGTATCTTGCCTCTTGCCGGCCCTCCAAGTGAACTTGGGCACTCAGGTTCCCATTCTTGGTTAGTATTGGTATGTGCTATGCCACCAGGCTACAACGCTTCATACTTCTGGTATCACTTCCACATGACCCAGCTTTGCTGAGCGTCTATTTGCATGCAATGTGGAGAAATACGAGCACAAAGCTCAGGGTGGATTACTTTGCCCTGCTTGCCAGCACACTGTATTAGTCCATGAAAAAGCTCATTCCTAAAGCAGTTGGACTGCTTTTGTCTAGGACAATACTGCCTGTATGACACAACTTCTACTAACGTGTGTAAGTTAATACCGTTTCTTTCAAAATGGAAGTACAAGAAAAAAAAATAGGGGGGAGAAAGGAGCCTCCTGTCCTGGTTTGTCTGGGACAGAATCCCAGCCCAGCCATGCCAGGCAGCCATCAGCAGTTTCAAGCCAGCCAGAGCAGCCGACCTGAGTTAGCTACAGGTGTAGCCCATCCCATGTCTGCTCATTACAAAGGAGGAAGGTTTAGTGGGGAAGGAAAGCTCCTGTGGGGTTACTGCTGGGGTCCCTCCAGCTCCTCTGGCTTCTCCCTGCTCCTGAGGACTGCTCTCCTGTTGGTTGTGACAGCTGCATATTCATTTGTCTGAGTATGACTTTGTATACCTTTGCAGGTATTAGTGCTATTTCGTTAAATCTGTTTTCACTTCAACCCATAGGAGACCCTTCTCCTTTTCCCTATTTCCCCTTCTTGGCTGGTGAGAGGTTGTTGGGTGAGAGAGCAACTGTTATAGTTTAGCCCTGTATATTGGCTGAACGTAGACACTCCTTAACCTAGCGAGATGGATACGGACTGAGGAGTGATCTGTAACGTAGCCCTCAAGCTGGAGGGGGAAAAGGGATGTATGCAGGGGAGAGGGTGCCTTGCCAGGCACTGGAGGCATGGCTGACAACGTAGGTGAGAGTATGTGGCTGGGGGAAGAGCCAGCGTAAAGTATAAAGCAGTGCTGAGGCAGCTCCAGAAACACTTGTGAAACAGCAGAGGCACAAGGCTTCTGGGAACTCTGCTTCAGCCTCTCAGCTATGCAGCAGCCCTGCAACCGCTCCCCACCCTGGCATCCCCTCTAGGAGGTGACAGAAGGGTTGTTGGCAATGGTGTGCCCTTGTACTGCCTCTGCCCCTCTGATCCCTGTTACGGCTCCCAGCTTTGCTACAGCCAACTGCTGCCTTCATTCCATCCCTTCCCCTCCCCTGCCTTCCCTAACAGCCAAGCAAGCGTCACTGATGCTCTAGAAAGCTGCAGGGGTGGCTCTGGGACAACACAGAAAGCATCCTGGGGAGAAGCAGGCATGCTAGAAAGAACTGAGAAGCACTGGTCTGTTAAACACTCTGCGTCTTTGGAGATGGAGGAGTTATGATTACAGCAAGGCATTTATTCTTCTCTGGCAAATTAAATGTTTCACAGTTGCACAAATTGCCCTGATTAGCAGTATCCAAATGGAACTGCGCTGAATCATTATTTTATAGGCATAATTTGTTCTCATTTAAGATGGGCCAACTCCACTGATTTCAAGTAAGTTATTCTAGCTCTGCATTGTTTTAACAGGGACTTGAAACTGGCTCAAGAGAATGCTGTAACACATACACAAAAAATATGTAACACAAAAATACATGTTTGAATGTAGGGCATTTACCAGCTAATGCTCTGGTTTATTGGCTGTGATAAAGAGTTCAGAAATCTGAGATGTGACTGAGGGCAAAACCAGGAAACAAAGGGGTTGAGCAGATGGCTCTGCTAGTGGTACAGGAAAAGGCATAATATCTGGTTCATTTTTCCATAGCACTGTGGGAGCAGCAAGGTTAGCAGAACTTGCTGTCAGTAGAAATATTTGGGCAGCCACAAGTCTTAAGTATAACCTTCCTGTCAATATAAGGGCTCACGTAACAAGTAAGGAGGCAACGCTTTTACCACTGTGAATCTCTCCTATAACTGTAAGACAGTATTATTATTAGTGTGAGCTTCTTCAGAAGTCTTCATGAGTCACCAGCATATTTTACCCTTGGGATGTCCTTCAAATGGCCATCCCCATGCAATAATGCAGATCAGCACGTGTGAACCTTCTTTTCAGATTTTAATAAGCACTAAATGGATCAGTGGGCTCTTGAAGAGGGCAGGAATGACCCTTAATCAAGCTTTAAAAATTATAATTATGATAATTACAATATCTTATAATTTATCCGTGTTCACTTAGGAGCACCATGGGGGCGAAACCAAGCAACCCCTTCCTCTTTCTCACACACACGTTTCTTTCCTTTTACCTTGATTGTTGGTATAAAGGCAGTGGTGAGGTACGAGCAGAGCCGAGGGGGCAGGGTCAGTTTGCTGATATCCTTGTCATCCCGCAGACAGCTAGCGATGGTCTGCTGGCACAGCAGCTGCAGACTGGACACCCTGTGCTCAACTCGGACAACGTATAATGCAGGTCCGGAAGCCATCAGCAGGCGCGAATCCCTGTGACCCCAACAGATCGAGATGATGGGACGCTGCATGGAGAGGAAAAGGATACAACTTTAAAAGAGCCTGTACTTTCTCCAAAATAGTTGCACAGCAAGTGATCAGACGAATTCAGCACCAATCATGTCACCCTAAGTCTTCCAGAAGCTTAAATGTGCACGCTATTGCCCACAAAAAGGGAGAAGAATGTGAATATCTGAAATTATTGATAACAGCGATTGATGTTTATACAGTGCATTTTACTCACAAGGCTTAAAGCTCTTCACGCAAGGAATTGCCTATCAAATTCATTACCTACATCGGATAAATGACGTCGAAGTCACACAGAGGTCATCAAAAGATCCTGCTTTTTTAAGAATCTAGATGATTTTTTCAGCCACCTAATCAATCCTCATCCCCTGGTAACAGCTCACATTTTATAAGTCAAAAGTTAAAATTATTTGCCCAGTGACACTTAGTAAACGAGTGGACAAAACCTAATCAGCTTTCTTGTCTTGCATTGAGTCTTCTGCTGCACAGCATCTCTTCTGAACTGTTCCCAGAGGAAGCGAACTGTGAAAGAGCACCAGGAACAAAACAGAAAATGGCCTTTTGTCTTCTGCTTGTCTACACTCAGAAATGTCTCAGCTCATGACAATAAAAACAGAAGGAGTCAGGGGCGACTGGTACTAAGTGTCAGAATGCAGAGTAGAAAAACAATAAACAACTCAAACGCTGCTTTGGACATTATTCCCTGATGCATGAACATCAAGAGTTCATGTGAGAATACTGAACTGTGCTTGCAAGGAGCTTTCTAACCTCTCTTCCTAAACCCCATCTTTTTCATGTAAAGCACCAGTTTGTGGTGATCTCTTATAGTCTTATCACTATTAGTTTTGCCCTTCATGAGTGTTAGCTGCATCCACCTGTCACCTTTTGCTTTCTGTGTTACAAAGCATCTGTATTTGCACATATACACATACTGTATGGAAATTCAATCACATAGCTGCTATCTCTATACAAATAAACAACACCGAGTAAAGGAGAAACTCTCACTCTGTGAAGACTGTTGTGCTGCAGGCTGCACTACAAAAAGTTTACTCCTTCCTGTGATAGGGTTTCCTTCTTTTCACAATCCGTGACACTCAAAAGTTTAAGCAAACATGTTTTTCATCTAAAGTATGAACTGTATTTACTAAAAGGTCAGGGTCTCTTTGGAATGTCTTTGCTCTTCACAAGATGCACTGAACAAGAATTAACTATACAGCAGATAAGGGTCAAGCTACCATCAGTAGTAACTTTAATCCTCTCCTCTCTAGTAATATGGTACCCAGATGGCTGGGTTAGGTCAGCCCAGAATTTACTAATCTAGCCTGGGGAAAAAACCTTTCCCTTCAGTTACAAATTCAAGAGGCTTGGAGGTGAGAAACTGGGATGAGATGTTTTTACATGAATGATACGAGGCAAAATGCCGCTGCACAGTACTATATCAATGTCTGTCATCAAGATCACAGCATCACAGCATGGCAGGGGTTGGAAGGGACCTCTGGAGATCATCTAGTCCAACCCCCCTGCTAAAGCAGGTTCACCCACAGCAGGTCACACAGGACTGCATCCAGGCGGGTTTTGAATGTCTCCAGGGAAGGAGACTCCACAGCCTCCCTGGGCAGCCTGTTCCAGTGCTCTGTCACCCTCAAAGGAAAGAAGTTTTTCCTCATGCTGAGGCGGAATTTCCTGTGCTCCAGTTTGTGCCCGTTACCCCTTGTCCTGTTGCTGGGCATCACTGAAAAGAGTCTGGCCCCATCCTACAACTGCCCTTTAGATATTTATAAGCATTATCAGAACTCCTCTCAGCCTTCTCTTCTCCAGGCTAAACAGCCCCAGGACTCCCAACCTTTCCTCATAGGAGAGATTCTCCAGCCCCCTAATCATCT